GAAAGAGTCGTTGTCCTTTAGGCTACCTTCAAGGCCCAAAACCTGAACTATGCACGGGCCATCTAGGGGGACCCGGGGGGGGGGGGGGGGGGTTAAGCTACAACCTGGAGCCCCACAACCCCAAAAGGCCTTCAAATAAACCCGAAACACCCAAAACCCGTGAAGCCCTTGCAAGGGCCTATACAGCCCTATGCTGCCCCAATTGACATTCCCAATAACTGCACTCATCCCGAAGCCCAAAGCCGAACCCTATGCCTCCAACAAACACCCAAAGCCCATAAGCCCTACACTCCTCAAGCCCTCAACCCTGAGCCCCTAAACCCTAAACCCTACACCCTAAACCCTAAACCCTACACCCTAAACCCTAAACCCTAAACCCTATAGGCGTCCGAAGCGCGCAAGCCTGCCAGGCCAACGAGCGACAAGCCTTGCGCCGTGCCTTGCCTCTCCAACAACAAGGGCTCAGACAAGCTTTTTGCATTTAGGATCGGTGAACTGGCCACCTGAAAAGCAAGTGTTTTTGTTTACTGTGCATTTGCAGGGTTGGAGGAAGGGAGTAGTGATTAGAGTATCGGCTTTAGGGATATGGGGAGTAGCCGGCAGGGGCTCAGGCCATCTGGTCATTGGCTGTCATTTCGCGATGGGCAGTATATTGGTCAGGGGTTTAGGCGGGGCTGAAGCCCTCTACATCCCAGACTCTCAGCCTAAAGCAGCCAAGGCGATCTGGATCGAATAAAAAAGAAGATCGCCCTGCGTGCACCTTGGCAGAAGCCGACCGAAAACCCTTCAGATCTCTGAATCCTCCGGTTCCTTTCGCGCTGCGCTGCCCTAAACTTCCACACCGCAAGCCCGACAGCCTAAACCCTGTATGCCCCGACGCCCCAATCCCCAAACCCTAAACCTCGATCCCTAAGCCCGAACACCTTCATTCAAGCCACGCCAGGGCTGCTCCAACCCGTAAACCCTAGACCCCAAACCCTCAACCCTAAACCCCTAAACCCTAGACCCCAAACCCTCAACCCTCGACCCTCAAGCCTATGCCACAGCTGAGGAAGACATCAACCTCGACAAGAAGGTCGAGCGTGACATGATCGACCGAGACATGTGCGGTCATTGGCTTGGATCAGTCAAGGGTTTACGGTTGGGATGTTCCCCCTTATACTAACAGTCCTTAATAATTGGAATGATAGTACCCCCTATTATCATCCCAAGTTTAAGGGCACAAGGGCTTTGTTGCTGTTTTGTAGGTGTTGCAGGTCTAAGCCAAAACCCTAAAGGGCTCAGGGCAGTTGTTTAGGTCCTTCTTGCACCTGCTCACTAGTGCGAAGCGCCTCATGCCTTAGTTTCATGATGCATCTCTGGGGAGAGGGTGGCAAGAGAACTCCTGAACTCCGGAGCCGAAGCACGAAGGGTCTGGGGTCTGGGGTGAGAGGTCCATCGGCTCCCTCAAAAACCCTACACTGGGGACCCTACACCAGAAGAAAGTCCCAAGCCCTCATCACAAAACCCTAAAGCACGAAACCTTCATACCCTAAACTAGAGCAAGCCCCTAAAACCTAAACCCCCAAAGCTCTAAACCCAAAACATCTTGCATTCAAAGCCTTGAATGCTGCAGCTTTATGGGCTCACCGGTTCCTAAAGCCCCGCATTCAACCAAAGGGTTCTAGAGTTTACAGCGTTTAGGCCCCAATCCCTTCGTGGCCCAAGGCGCTCGAGTGCCAGATTTCCCAAAGTTGTTGGGCTTGTAGGGCTCATGGTGTTTATGTCAACGTAGCCAACGGCTGCAATCCGAGCTGCATCCCACCCTCCCAACATCCTGAACCCGGCTTCGTTTTCCCGGACCCTCGTTTGTAGCTCACATTCACGGGCGTGGTATAGCCAGGAAGGCCTGCGGAGGGACAAGCTGAGGGGAACCAGCTTGGATGCCTTGATAGACCTAAAACCCCCTGATCTTATAAATCCTCTGCCATACAACCCTAAACCCTGAACCCTAAACCCTAAACCCTGAACCCTAAACACTCAGATGCCCTAAACATCAGATGCCCTAAACCCTGAACCCCAAACCCTAAACCCAATGGCCCAAGGGTTTTCAATCGGCCCAGGGGATCACCTTCCACAGGGCGGCTATCACCTGGCGGGCAGCAGCAAGCAGCCTCCTGGGGACGACCCTGAGACTCACAGTTCACGATTGTTATCGAGGGGAAGTTTCCGGGTTTTTAGGGTTTTGGGGTGGGAAATTCCCTAGGTTTTGGGGTCTATAGGGTTTTGGGGTTTTTTTTAGGCCTTATTCCCTAGGTTCATGGTTTCTGCTGGAATTGCCCAGGCTTATGCTTACATTCATACACGTCATTTCAGAATGTTTAGGGTTCGTGGACTCGCCAGCTGCCATATACCAACACCATGAGCCAAGCAACAACCAAAGAATGACAGCGTGGCCAAAAGAACCACGAGACACATGAAGACAGAAAGCACAAGTATGGAAAGAAACGTGTACAGAGCAAGACGTACGGCAGCCAGAAAGACAGGAGCATTTTGAAAACAGCATGTTAAGTGCGAAGGAATGGAATGAACATGAGAACCAGATTACGACATACATGTACACAAACATCGTGAGGTAATGACAGAAAGGGATATGAAGTTGCACAGCACATGCAGGCGCTGGTCTGTTGCTGTGTACTCCTCACTTTTGTTCTTACATTAGATCACTCTTTGTACTCTCTTTTCTTCCTTCGTGTACCTGTCGCTATGTCGTTCTCATTTTGGATCTCATTGCCCAAAGCCAAGCCAGTCAAGCGCGCTTTCGCCAACAGGCAGTGCCTGGATCACTAGTTATTCTATTCAAGGGATTTCGCGGTTTAGGAATTAAGGGTGCTAAAGGTCGAGCACGTGTGCATGAATATGCGGTGCCTGGGTCAAGACGGTTGCAAGAGGTGGATGGTGTGTCAGACCTAATGTCAACATGCAATGGCTAGATGATGGCATTCGCGCTAGTGTTTGGTTTAGCAATGCGGGAAGACTTGCGCATGCACAGCAATGTATGCCTACTGAGGCTGAAGCACGATGTCGATCACGGAGCTCGAACCCTAAACCCTAAAGCCTAAACCCTAAACCCTAAACCCTAAACCCTAAACCCTAAACCCTAAACCCTAAAACCTAAACAACCCAAAAAGCCCTAAGCCCTGGACCCGGCGGGCCGAGGCAAAGAGCACGATTTCTCATCTGCCTCCGGTTGTTATAGGCTGTAAATGAGTCTTGTGGACGGGCTGAGATGGAGAGATCGATCTCCTTCATCACCTCGTGCCCTCACAGGGATTCGGCACTTTCAGCTGTGACTAGTCATGCTTCATCCGGAAGAAGATAATGGTGACACTGTCTAACTCGCAACAAAAAAGTACCTGGACCTCTGTTGCGGAGGGCCCTGGAGCCCCAGACCCTTCCGACAAGGAAGCTGGCTCAAGGACAAGAAAGCCTGCAAAGCCTACCTCTAACCCCAATTACCCACAGTTTTCTGGGCTATACCTGTTAATTAAGGGGTAGCTACTACTAACCTGTCGGTAATTGGGGTTACAGGTAAGCCCAAAGCATGAAACCTCCCATGATGCCGCGGGCATGTCTGAGGACTCAGCGTCGAAGCTGGCGAAGAATGATGGGTCGCTCATGCCGCGTTGAGCTGTGCACATTCTATAACCGTGTTTTCGGTCGCTTTGGGACGAAGAGGGCGAGAAAGAGAGAGAGAGAGAGACATCGACATTTGTGTGGTTGTGTTCCAGCTTTGGCTACCGCTCGCTAGTTCACAGACTTGTTTGAGTTGCCCTTAGCAGAAGGCAAGTCATGAACTGCAGCGAGATCGTTGCCAAAGGAGAGTACGTGCCTTGGCAGCCCTGTGTGTTTTCTGGGAAGGTTGTTTCAGCAGCTGCATCCAAAAACATCAGACCCGGCTCTCTTATCGTTGCTAACCCTAAGCTCTCCTTGCGCCAAGGGTCCTCACAAGCTTCCTAGTGCCTGAGCCTGATGAGCAAAACCCAGGCTCATGGCCAGGTCCCCAGTTTTGGGCCTGCATGACTTGTTGGAGCCAGCGTAGCTAGTGCACCCATTCATGGACCATACTTCGTGCCTGAGCCGATCTCGCGCTGAATCTCGGCCCTCTTGTATAATCCCTGACTGGTTGCAGAAACATAAAGTTACTCAAGAACCCAAGTGATCTCCAGCACGATCTCCCTGGTAGCCCCTGTCTAGTTGCGTAAAAACAAACCCAAAACCCCTATAGTTACCCCGCAATACCCAGGAATACCCGGGCGAATTAGACAGCCCCCGATGTGACGCGGGAAACCAACCCTTTTCCCTTTTAGGGGTTCAAGGTTCCCTCATGAAGCAACCAGCCCCAAAAAGGGTGCCCTCATTTTAATATGGTTACTGGGATACCGGGGTACCACGCCAGGAATACCCAGTCGAATCAAAAATCTTGAAAGGTGTGGAAGATCGAGGGCCTGTCCTGGCTCGAGAACACCTTGAAGCAGAATGGCCTCTGCCTCCAGGGCTGCAGGAAGACCGGGGGGGCCAGGGGGGATGGGGGGTAGAGCTAGATTGGTTGATGCCCCGGTTCGCGGACTGCCGTCCAACCATATCACCGTATACCCATTACACCATCTTACCACCATAACCTCAACCCATCACACCATTATCCTAAAACCATTCTTACCAATTATCCTATACCTACACATCCAAAAGACCATACCAAGAGAGCCTAACAAAACCAAAACACCAAAGCCCCTAACCCTTCCACCTACCCCGATAACCTATCCAAGCGAACCAGGGGATCAAGCTCATCCGATTTTTCGTGTCCAAGCTGTACAACATCCACATGGTGTGCCAGACACGTTTTTTTCTGCTTTCAAGTGAATGCACAAGGGTTTTTGTCAGATGTGGAGCGAAAGCCAGTAGCAAAACACTTCTAATCCGAAACATATGACGTCTCAAGCCTTTAACCATAAATTGAAGCAATGTCCGACACAGAGCCCGATTACAGAGCGCTGCATGAAGTGGAGAGATGCGCACTGTCATACATCATCAGAGATGGATGGCAGTTTAGCGTTCCGGACAATCAACGGCCAGACGAGCTTCAGAAATGTATCGCGCTTTCAGACCGGAACCTTCACGAAGCTAGAAAGCGATTCGCTTTTCTCAATGCCCGTGATTTCACTGTAATGGCTACAAACAAGAACCAGTTTGCCACCATCAATGCCGAGCCGTTCTGGACGGTAAAAGCCGTCAAGGTTGCAATCAGCTCTGCCTTCCGTTGCCCTCCATCAGATGCTCCACGGCGTATCGGGCGAGTCTTCTACTTCCGGTGAGTTGACCAATGACTCCAAAACTCTTTCTACTGGAGTCCGAGAAGGGGATGCGTCGTCCACGTGTTGGATGAGGATGAGAGAGTCCAGGATGGTGCGCCGATTCAGATAGATGACCTTTCCTATCATGATGCCTGTCGCTTGCAAGGTAAGCTTGTGAAGAGCTTGTGAAGAAGCGCGTTGAATGTTACACGCGGTCTAGTACACCCATTGCCCCTAAGTCCAAAGCCAAAGCGACGGTGGTTGCCCCTGCTGAAGGCGGTGGCCACCAAAACAACTAAAGCAGACGAAGGCTTGAAGCGGAAAATGATGTTGCCTTCTATCCTTGTGATGGCGAAAGCAAGCGAGTGCGCAAGGGCCTTGCTTCTCAGTTTCTGCATTTCCCGCACGTTGAGCCACAGCTGTTGTTCTTATGCAGTCTTTCTCTTTCAAGCAAAGAGCCGTGCGCTCAGTGGCTACAATAGCCATGACGATTGGTGTTCAAGTAGCCTTGCAAGCCCACTTCTACGAGGGCTCGGGCGAAGTGTTTGAGCTGCGTCTTCCCGGGTCAGGAGACGATTACACGTTGGAGCAACTCGGTCTCCTTGCTGCGCATGAATAAAAGCGGCTACTTTGAGAAGTTTGAGGTTCTCAGTCAAAACATATTTCGCCCGCTCACACATCGGCTTGGCGGTGTCTACCACACCTACGAGTGTGTCTTCTACATTCTGCTGTGAAGTGGTTCAGACGACGAGCAGAAATGCAATGACGTGCCCCTTACAATCTATTTCAGGAATATCGGAACAGCCGCGGCGCAAACTCGCGTCTCGAGCAAGGCTAAGCAGATACATCATGGGGGACGCCTGCGCTATGTGGAACTGTGACATGCTCAACTTCTTCACGAAAGATGGGCTCTTGACCGCCAACGCCAAACAGGCAAATACAGTTTTGAAGAACGTGGACGTGGCGGTTGTGGCAAGGAAGCAGGGCAAGCGAGGCGGGTCGCCAATCATGCGGACAGATGATTCGACAGCGATGGCTCGAGTGATGGCTCGGGTGATGGCTCGGACGACGACACCGAGCGCCCGAAGTTCAGTGAGCAGGAGCTTATCAATCTCACCGTTCACATTGACTCCTTGCCTCGCCGAGACCCTAACGAGTTCAGCACTTTGTGTCCAAGGAGTTCAAAGGGAAGAAGCTCTTCACCATGCAGGTGGCTCTCGACACAAGCTTCGGGCGACTCAAAGGCATGATTGTTGGCAAGATCAGGTGAGACTCTCCTGCACTAAGCGCCGTCAGCACTGAGGACTTTAAGCTCATCTTTTCGCCAAGACAATAAAGCATGAAGAGCACTTGAAAGATTGGGTGGCTGAGAATGAGGATGAGCTCACGTGCTACATCGTGCTCGTTCTCAGAGGCGGTGTGGCTCTCCCTAAGAGCGTCCAGAAGGACAAGTCTGAGAAGCACAAGTCCAACATTCAGCGCCTCCGCCAGAACATCAACCGCGTCTGCTTGCAGGGCGTCGGAAACATCCAATCCTTACTTAGAGACAGTGCTTAACACCTTTATGGCAAACGCTGAGAAGACCCAGAGCAGACCTTGATTCGCCACTGCGCCAACTTGCCCGACAACGTCACTCAGAGCATGATCGATGTCCTCACTGCCAAGGGCGGAAGTCCGGAATCCAAGCTGGACGCCATGGCTGTTGCATTCTTCGCCATGGATGATATGAATACCAAGAACGACAACGTCAGCCACGTCCTGGAAATGGCTGGGGCGGTCCTGAGGTATGCTGTGAGCAAGCTGAGCGGGGGTGGCCCGGGGTGGCGTGGCATCTTTCAGCGCTTGGAAAAGAAAAGTTCCTGGGACAAGCCGTGAGCAGTTCCGCAAATGCTGGGGCTGACACGTCTATCAGCGTGCTGGCGTCGGCGCTTGGAGATGTCAGTCGCATGACCGTTTCCCAGCAATACTCAATTCTATCGAAATAGGTCAATACCCATATTGAAATAGGTCAATACCCATGTCAACACCTGTATCGAAATTTGGTCAATACCCATATTGACACGAATTCTTGGAGATAAGGCGTTAAATTTCTGAGTAGCCGCCATTATACAACAGGCTTTATGTCTTCCTCTCACGCATAGCTGGTTTAGTAAAGGTGAATTTCTTGAATTTTCCTTCGAGTCTGCAAAGTCATCTGCAGTTTTTGTTCATATTGAGTGTAATTGTTTGTGTCCGTTCTCCTTTTGATATTCCGTTATTTTACGCTGTCTTGTTCTATCTGCTTCTAATTCTTCTGCCTTGTATTCATCACAGAAGGCGCTATTTTCCTCTTCTGTATCTACCTTCAATTCTGTTTCTATGTAGCGTTAACCGGAGTCCAATTAGGGTCGATTGAACCAGAGGGCGACAACGCATAAACTCTTGCGAAAACGTCTGAAGCGATTGTAGCAGAATTCCTTTACCTGATCCTGAGGGACCTGTTATAATCATTGAGAAGGGTAATTTAGGAGCTACTTCATATTTAGATTGTTTCGAGAAGGGCAATCTAGGAGCTTTCGTACTTTACGTTTATCGGCTTGACTATCGGAAATTTATTTTTACTCTTCAGAAATTAATTTCCATCAAAAGTTGGTGGTGTAATTTCTTGCCGCCCGTGCGACCTGTTAATATTCAATAATGTGATAAATACTTAGAGGCGCGAACAGAGTAATTAAGATATTATAACATCTAATTCAGAATTCGTTTGTTGACATAGGAACAACATTAAATCTTAGAGAAATACGGTTGATATTGAATTCTAATTATAACTGTTAATCATTATTTGCAATTATTCATTTTAATGTGACTGACTACGGCAAGTCCGATAAGAATGGATTTCGTACTGATACGAAATGTATATCTTGCATTCCGTGTAGATGTAAAAGGCATTTTTATCATAAGGAAACGAAAACAACCGCAGAGAACAGTATCACTACGACTAATTCAACCAATGCCATTGAAAACAGGAGAAATATCAGATTCGGTTCAACTGGAAGACATACTTCACCAGATGTAAGTTTCAGGCCCGAGAATGTTTTACGAAGCGGAAGCGTTGAGATATGTGACACTGGATGGGCACCAGAAGAATTGGAAGAAAGAGTTGATAGGCTAGAATCATCTGTTGAAGAAATAAAGAACGATGTTGAAGACGTAATGTTGCACAAAGTGATAAGAGGGCTGGTTAAAGAAATAATGTGAAGAAACAGATTTTTAATGTTGACTTTATAAAGTGAAGCTCCTCGATTATCAGGCGAAGAAGGGAAAGTACATAAACAATGTGGAAAATGTGGCGGATTGAAGGACTTGTCAAAGTTTCAGCATAAGACAAAAAACGGCAATATGAATAAAACATGTAGAAGGTGTTTAGATATGTCGCGTATGTATCATATAAAACATTTACTTCTGGCTCAAAATAGGTTCATAGCAGAGGAATTAGAGAAAATGGTATAAAGAGAAACGAACGTATAATATTTGAGAATGATTTCATATGAAGAAGAAAAGTATTGTGTGTAGCGACAAAAAACTACCTGAAAACATTTGCTTAAAGGTTGCAATGCTGGCTGGTTGTAAGAGATGCGAGATAAATGCGGAAATGTAGGCTATATTTCAAGATGCAGATATTGAAGAAGAGAAGGAACAACACAGAGAGATATGACAATTTCTTTGGAACGTAAAAGGTGAACAACTCGCAAAACAGATGGAGCAGTTTCATGATGAACACAGCGACATTTACAACATGTATCCACATGTTTTTTTTACAATTCTTCTGAACATTAAACAAGGTTCATGCGCCGGTTTGCTTGGATAGGTTATTGGGGTAGGTATGGTGGTAAGATGGTAGAATGGGTATATGGTGATATGGTTGGGCGGTCGTTCGTGAACCGGCGCATCAACTAATCTAGCTGGTAGGGGGGGAGCGGAATGGGGGAATGGGGGGGGGGGGGGGTTGGGGGGCAATTGGGGGGGGGGGGGGCGGTTGGGGGGGGGGGGGGGGGGGGTTGGGGGGGGGTGGGGGGGGAGGCGGGTTGGGGGGGGGGGGGGGGTGTGTTTTGGATGTAGGGTGTCAGGGTTTCAGGTGTGAAGTCCATGGTCCATGAGTTTAGGGTTCAGGTTTTTAGGGACTCGCACCAACGCCAAGGGCATCCATCAAGGGTCCCGTAAACACTGAGGTCAAGGACCATAAACCTGAAACCCTGAAACCCCAAACCCTGTGCCCTAAACTACTATCGTTGTGATTCGAGGGTATTGATGCAGGGAAGAGTTGGGGTGAGAAAAGGTTGGGTAATTGACAATCTCGGAGGCCCAAATCCTGGACACCCCAGTGGTACATGGTTTGTTGTTCAAGCCCCCGGAGCTGCCCCAAACGTTCCCTTATTTACATTGCTAGGTGGTTTAGGGTTTAGGGTTTAGGGTTTAGGGTTTAGGGTTTGGGGTTTGGGGTTTGGGGTTTGGGGTTTGGGGTTTGGGGTTTGGGGTTTGGGGTTTCCTCCTAAATCCCAAACCCTAAACCCTACAACCCAAAGCCCTGAACCCTAGACCTTATAAAAGCCTCATCCTTAACAACAAACAGCACCCAGCCTCTGTGGTGCCCTTAGCTCCTAATCTCGGCACCCTGAGCAACCTTCGTAGGTTTCGGGTTTTGGGGTTTCTGGGGCGTAGGGCGCCTGAACAAGCATGAAAACGACCGTCAGCTCCTAGGCTACGCCTCTTCCGAGCCCTTCACTGTGGGGGGCGAGACCTTTGCATTCGTGTACAATCCCTCGGGAGGTGGGGCCTTAGGGCTGAGGGTGGAGGGGTGGGGAGGGGCGGTTAGCTTACAAGGGGCCAGCAAGTGGTAGAACTTCAGATGATCTTTGTTGGGGAGTAATCAGCCCAAACCCTGAAGCCCTAAGACCCTGAAGCCCTCAACCCAAAAACTCTGCGACACTAGAACCCTAGAACCCTCGAAGCCCGAAACTCCAAACCCCTGAGCCCGTGATTCTGGCTACTAACCCCTAAAACACTCAACCCCTCAAAACATGCTTAACCCTAGAACCCCCAAGTCCTAACAAAATCCTGAAAGCAAAACACGGAAACCCTTAAACAATCTACAAACCCCGAACAATGTGGGTTTAGGAGTTTAGGGTTCTAGGTCTACGACTTTTTTAAGGTTTCGGGCGGTTTGGCTGCGGTTTCGGGCGTAGCCTGAGACTAAGCCCCTACAGCCCCTGCAGTTCAACCCCATGAACTGGGAACCCTGAAGCTGAAGCTGAGAAGACCCAAACCCTCAACCCAAAACCTACTGGCTTTTCGTGAAAGATGGAGCGCAGTGCCTTTTTTTAGGAGTTTTATAGGGTGCATAATTCCCTCCCTCCCTCCCAAGAACGAGTAGATAAACCCCAACCGGCGACATCGAAACCTTAAAGCTCCCCAATTCTGCAGGTAAGGTGAGCCTCACTGCGGAGGAGCAGCACGGGCCGGAGGCTTACTATTGCGTAGGCGCTTCAGACTCTCAGGCGGGGGGGTTTAGGATTTATAATTTTGGGTTTAGGGTTTATAACGGTTTAGGGAGTTTAGGGTTTATAACGGTTTAGGGAGTTTAGGGTTTATAACGGTTTAGGGAGTTTAGGGTTTAGGGTTTAGGGTTTGGGGGGGTGGTCTACCTGATCGAAATCAAGAGCGCGCGGTTTTGCGGAGCTTCAAAAATCCGGAGATTTGAAGGCAAGGCCGCAAGCCCTAACTTAAGCTCCTGAACCTACAAGGTCTCTTGCCATCATCCACGAGGATGACGATGGCATTACCTTTCGGTACCGACGCTGGGTTCTGCCAGAGGTGTGTATGTTTAAAATTGATATGCTCCCTTTCATCCTAAACCTGTAAAGCAACAAACCCTTCCCCGCAATAGCCCCTAAACCACAACTAGCTCAAACCCCCAAACCGGCCATACACTTTCAGCCTGGTAGGAAGTTTATTGTCACATGTGCTACGCAACCCCAAACCTACGTTACATCTCTAAACCCGCAGGTGAAAACCCTAAGTCTCTACATCCCTAACCCGTAAATCCTAAACCCGAAACCCTAAATAATCTACGAAATCCTAAACCCTAAACCCTAAACCCTCAATCCTAAACCCTAAACCCTAAACCCTAAACCCTAAACCCTAAACCCTAAACCCTAAACCCTAAACCCTAAACCCTAAACCCTAAACCCTAAACAGCCCAGGAATCTACATCAAGAAGCGAGGCGGTAGCTTCGTCCAGTGGGGCGAGACGGGAGATGAGCCTTTCGATCGCAACCCAAGCCATGGCAGCCTTGTAGGGTTTCTGAGGGCTTTTGAGGGTTTTTTGTGGGCTTTTGAGTTTTTTTTTCTTCAGATGTTGAGGGTATGAGGGAAAAGTGTTTTAGGATTTGAGGGTTTTAGGTTAGTAGGGATTTTAGGGTTTAGAGGTTTAGGGTTTTCGGCTCGAGGGCTCAGGGTGAAGGCAATGCGTTTAGGGGTCAAGAGGATTGGGCCCACCCAAGCCCCCCCAGACCCTTAAAGCTCGTGAGGCACAAAGGTTTAGGGACACGCTTTGAGCCTCTATTGTAGTACATTCCTTGCCAAAAATGGCCAACAGGTTAGATGCCCCCCCCCCCCCGTCCTTTTGCAACTGCATGCTCAACAGCAGAACTCCTCACATCTCGTTTTCGGTTCTTTGAGGTTTGGGTTTATGGTTTGAGGTGCAGAGGGCTGGGCTTAGAGTCAGGGCTTAGCTTGAGCATGGGCTGCGCGGCAGTCGAGGTTTCGGGTGCCGTCGGCTGTTGAGTTAATGGGTTTAGGGCCTAAACCCGAAATGCTAGACTCTAAGCCTTAAGTTTAGGCTTTAGAGTTAGAGGTTCATGTGCCCTTGAAAGCTTCTTCAATGCAGCTTTTTGGGTCGTAAGGGGGGTGAGCCTTCTCAGCCTACTTCGCGTCGAGGAGGTCTAGAGCCCTAAGCCCTACCTGGCTTTGTCAAATATAGTGGTCGGAATCATTGCTAAGATAATTCCCTTCATGTTCCTTTTAAATTTATACCATAATACCGCCTAAACCCTAAATCCTAAGCCCTAAGCTATTGTTTTGTTTTGAGGCACCTACATTAGGTCTCGGGGGCCCAGGTGCCATCCGACGACGGACACCTGTGGCTGGGCCTTCGGCCCGGATGCTGCTCGAACGGTTTAGGGTTTAGGGTTTAGGGTTTAGGGTTTAGGGTTTAGGGTTTAGGGTTCAGGGTTCAGGGTTCAGGGTTCAGGGTTCAGGGTTCAGGGTTTAGTGGGGGTTTCCGAGATGAGGGGTACCTTTTTGGGGATCTATGTTCGGGGTCCCCTATTTTCGTAAGCCGGTCGCAGTGTCTTCACTGCTTGGTCTGAGTGAAATATCACTTCTCGTACTCCTACCCCCGAAACTATGACCCCTCAACCTACAAAGTCCAACATACTGTAAACCTTTCGAGGGCTCGGGGGGCTTATTTGCATACTCTGGGTCCAGCCGGTGCAGCAAACAAGAATGAGCCGGAACCCTTCCCCTACAAGCCTGAACCTCAACCCCACCCCACCCTTGCCCTCCAACCTTCAATATCTTGCGCACTACGCCCCTAAACTCTAAACCCGAAGCCCAAACCGAAGAAGCCGAGGTTTACCAGGTGGATCCGTATCGCTGGGCCGCCCATCGTCCCACAGGCTCAAGGGCACGTAGGTCCGTTTCTTCATTTCTTTGCTCACTACTTTTTTCGGGTTTAAGCTTATAGGGTCTATGTTGCTGTTATTGGTCCGGGTATGTTGTGGTTCCTTACAAGGCGAATGTTTAAGTTTATGCTTACGGGGATACTAGTTGGAACCAGCAGTCCCAAACCGGGTCCAGTAGCGCCCGTATTCTCCTGTCGTAGGATTCCCTTGTCATTTGTAATCAAGGAGTACCCTTTTTCGTGTAAGGGGCTTGCTTTTCGGGGCTAGAATTCGGCTTCTATTCGGGAGGTATGAAAGGCACCGTCCGGCACCACCCGCCCGGAAGCCCTGTGCCCCAAACCCCTTAAAGCCTGGGCCTGAACCACTGAAGAAGCCCTACACCGACACCGCTCAACCTGAAGCCCCTTAAAACCCCCAAGAACCTGGGATTGCTCGCGATCACCGTCATGGGAGCTGTTCAGCCACAGTTGGGCACATGGTTTAGGTTTAGTTTAAGGCTTAAAGGGGTTTAGGATTTAGGTTTAGAGGGGCTTAGCATTTAGGCTTAAAGGGGTTTAGGGTTTAGGGTTTATAAGGTTCATAAGGTTTTGGGTTCAGGATTTCTCCGAATGAACTTGCCTTCAACAAGAAACCGACGTGGAAGGCATCTTTGGCCTCACGCACAAGCAGCTCTTGCAGTCGGAGTGGGTGGAGAACGACTCCCTTAGTGCGCCCCGTTTGTCATTTTGTTGGGCGGCCTTCCTGGTGGAATTTAGGGGGCGCGGAGTGGTTTAGGGTTTAGGGGGCGCGGGGGGTTTAGGCACCTTTTTGGGGATTCTGCAGGTGCTCAGAGTTGTTTAGAGGTTAGCCACATAGAAAGGAGACCCCCCCCCCCCCCCCCCCACATGTTCTTCCCTACTTGTTTAGGCCTCAGAATTCATGGGGGTGTCCCATCGCGGGCGGTGCGGGGGGAGTAGGTAAACCTGTGATCTTACGGGGCTCCAGACAAGGAAGCCTCAAACACCCAAACCCTAAGCCCTGGGCTCAGGTCTATACCAATTCCGCAACCCGGAATCCCAACGGTCCTACAATAATCGCGCAATTAATTCCCTGAAGCCCCAACCCCTAAACCGCAACCCTAAACATTAATTAAACCCAAACTCCAGAATTTCCACCGGCAGACAGACCCTAACAATCTCCAGAACCTCTTTCTCTCCAGATTTCCCCTCATAGCCAAAGACCTCCATGATCAACACAAGGTGAAGTTCGAGCTCGAAGTTCGACCTGACGACTGGCGCCTGGGCGTTTAATTTATGTTTCACGCTAAGGCTTTGGGGTTTAGGGGTTAGTGCGGTTATTGGGATGAGTGACTGGGTTCAGTGGGTTCGGTCTTTTGGGATTCGTGTTTTTTTTTTCGGAGTTCTGGGCTGAACAAGAAAGGCCTTGAAATCGGATCTCGGGTTCAGAGTTGTAGGGAATAGGGCAAAGGGCTATAGGGTATTGGATTTCGGGTTCAGGGTTATAGGGTATAGGGCTTAGCGTTTAGGGGTTCAGTACTTCGAAACAGCTACGATCCAAGCGGTACCCTGCCCCACGCCTGCCGGCCGCCTTATAGAACCAATGCCAACTCCGCAAACGTTGACACGTTTAAGATGCTATGTCGCTGCACCCAGCAGTAGCCTCATAAATCCCTCAGGGTGTAGGTTTTCGGGCTTCGGGTTTTGGGGTCTAGGGCTTGAGGGCTTAGGCCTTAGGACTTGTTTTCTTGGGTTGCTGGGCAACTTGCAGCTGCTGTTGTTTTGGACGTTTTGGGCACAGGGGTCTGCGCCTGCAGTCTGAGAAGCAGGTATGGCCGAGCGCCCTTGCGACCTCTGGTGGACGTGCCGGGGCCCACCATCAGCCTCGACATGAAGAAACTCCTAGAGGAGCCTTTAGGGTTTAGGGTTTAGGGTTTAGGGTTTAGGGTTTAGGGTTTAGGGTTTAGGGTTTAGGGTTTAGGGTTTAGGGTTTAGGGTCATCCTCCGGTGGTCGCTGCAACCCAAACACGAGACCTTTGAAATTATTTTAAGTTGATTCCACGAATCATCTAGTTTCCCAACAACCCTCGAGTTGCCGGAGCTTTAAAGAATTCCTAACCCTGAGCCCCAAAACCCTAAATCCCAAACCCTCAACTATACAACCCAAACTCTCTAGACGCCATGCGCCCCAAGCCCCCGAAGAAAGCTCTTCAGGACCAAAGGCTGCGGATTCGGATTCCCTAACATGCTTAAACAAAGCCATTCAGCCCCAAACGTACTAGGCTTGAGGGTTCAGGGTTCACCCTGAACCTTGTGAAATGTGTAGAGCCGATGGTCCTTACGTCCTGACTTAGCCCTAATCCCCAGTCTAAACCCTAAACGCTATCCGGTTTTGTTGGAAGAAACAACGGCTGTTTGGCTTTGTTATGAGGCTCTGGTTCGACCCCAATCCGACCGTAACACCTGAACTGATGCCCTGGTTGCGAAGAGCAGTCCCAGCACCTACCCTAAACCCGAGGGCCCTAACTTCAAAACCCTGCAAACTCTAAACCCTAAACCCTAAATCGCGGCAACTGTATACCCTAAATCCGATATGCGCTATACAGCCTAAACCCCAAACCCTAAACCCTAAACCCCAAACCCCAAACCCTAAACCCTAAACCCGAAATTGCTTGGAGGACGGAATGGGCGGCCCGGCCCCCCAGCAACCGCGGGGCGTTTTCTCGGTCGATGGGGTTTGTTGGGAGGTTTGGGGGACTTTTTTTTTTTTTTTTTTTTTTGGGGGGGGGGGGGGGGGGGGGGGGTAGGGTTTAGGGTTCAGGGTTTAAGGGTTTTTGAAGGCGCTGAAACCCCTAAACCCTGTAACCTCAATTAAACCCTCAACTTTCGCGGATGCTGAAGGCTTAAGGGTTGTTGGGCCTGATCATTCTTAAAGGTTTCCACAAAGTAACGTACATCCGAAAACCTACCCACATTGACGAAAGGACCAGAAGTATGGTTTTGACATCGCTCTTTATAGAGATCATCAATCACCTATAGGATCCCGATTATGACCCTAGGATCCCTATAACCTGGGCCGGAATGTACTTTATTTGAGGCCCAGAGACAGCAGCATGCTGCGCTCAGAGCCTCTAGGGCTTTTCAGTTTCAGGGTTGATGAAGCTGGAATCTGGGTTCCGTTTTAGAACAAACCATGTATGGTCGATCGGTTGCGAAGCACCTGCTTAAGCAGTTGAACCTAAAAACGTCAGACCCGAAACTCTAAACCTAATCAGGGCCGTTCAAAGTCTGTGACAGGTGATGTGCAGTTCGTCGTCCAGGGGGAGGTCATCCATGCGCACTCGCCTGTGCTTTGCGTGACTTGACGGCGCGTCTCTAGACCTTAAATCCTCAAGCCTACATCCCTCAACCCTAAACCTACTACAAGGGTCGGAAGAATTTCCCTTATGGTCCCTTTATAATTCTACGTTAATGACCCCCCAAAACCCTAAACCCTAAACCCTAAACCCTAAACCCTAAGCCCTAAACCCTAAACCCTAAACCCTAAACCCTAAACCCTATTCTAATTGTTAGGGCCGCTAAGCCTAGGCCAGATCCGAAGTCTTCGCCGCCCAGCTCAACGCCGGGCTGCGGGAATCGGTGACCAAGGACTTGGGGGAGGGAGGGAGGACTGAGGGAGTTTTTTAGGGTTTAGGGTTTAGGGTTTAGGGTAGGTTTAGGGTCTGGGGTGTTTGGGTTTAGGGTTCAGGGTTTTTTGGTTTTCTGTTCTTCCGCTATCACCCTGTCTGTTTTCTCTTGTCCCTGAACGTGCTACGTGGGTATGCCATGAGGGTGATTTCCGATCTTGTGCCGAACTACACCCACGCCCTAGATTCAAGCCCTAAACCCTAAGCCCTAAACCCTAAACCCTAAACCCTAAGCAGGAGATAGTCATCGACGAGTGCGACCCGGCAATCTTCCGGGCTTTGCTGCACTTTCTGTACACAGACAGCTTTACCTGTGTGGATGCCTCAGCTTCAGGTGTTATAGGGTGTATGGAGTGAAAGGGTTTTGGGGTTTGGGGAGGTTTAGGTTTTTGGCGGTAGAAACCAGAAAGGTTCAGGTACAGGGTACATCTGGAAGCAGAAGCCCCAGGAAACAATGTAGGGTTTGAGTTTCCCTGAACCCTAAACCGAAGGACCTAGGATTTGAGATTGCGGTGTAGGGCGCCGGCTGCAAGGTTTCTGCTCTTCGGGTGGTTTTAGGGTTTAGAAAGCGCCGGGTTACACAGTTACACACCCGTGTGTGCAGTGACAACTTAGGACTGCTGCCTTGAGTCTTGCACAGTCCAGGCATTCCATGTGCACTGAAGTGAATCCGTATGCCAACTGGCTCACTACTTCTTCTTTTCCCTTGCAAAGGCCTCTCTTCTGCTTCCTAGCTGCGCTTCCATCGACAAAGACCACGGGGATACCGCGGTCACACACCGATTTTTATCGTTCTCAAAGATTCGTCGAGTCAAGGACGTTTATACCGAGGCATAGACCTGAGAGGTGTAGGGTTTCGGTTTCGACTGAAGCCTTTTCGAATTCCGGGCTGTGCAGCGAGCCGGTTGCAGGATGCTTCAAGGGTTTCATTGTGTAGCCCACCCATATTGTCCATCTGAATCTGTAGGCTCTACATTGCAAGCCCCAGGGTTCAGGGTTGAGAGTTTGTAGGTCTATTCTCGTATAAGAAGGTCCCTGCCTGGGAACCCCACCTCTTGACAATGCCCCTTTTGTAACTCGCGCGACGCTTCTTTCCGCCGCGACGTTGGAGGTCCCCGACACGTGCTGTTCAGGGTATGCCACAATACGAATCCGAAACTCTGGAAACCTCAAACCCGAAACCTTGATCACCCCCTAACTGCACGCAAACCCTCACCACCTGTCACAGGTGGAGGAACTGGTGGTGAAGTCGCAATCCGCAGGCCCTGGGGGAACTTTGATTCGGAATATTTTGGGGTGCAGGATTTGACTGCAGGGCTTACAGGGTTGAAGGGTTGGGATGTTCCCCCTATTTACTAACAGTCCTTAGTAGGATGATGATAGGGGCTACTTTTTTCCCTATTAAGGACTGTTAGTCTAAGATCCCAAACAACAGGGTTTACAGGGCTTATAGTGTCCTGAAGGCTCCAGGGCTTAAACCAGGAGACGACATAACATTTCAGACCTATTGACAATTTGGGGGGGTGTAGAGCTTCTATGTAAGTATATGGATGGATAATAGTACTTGTGTTGTATAGTGCTTCCTGTATAGTATAGTGGCCTTGTGGCCCAATTTTCTCTTCTATTTCAGGATGGGCCCTTAAAAGGGGGTTTATGGGGCTTGGGGCCCCCAGCCCTCTTGACGTGGCTTACTTTGGATTCGGGGCTGCCCCTACACCCTAATTCCCACACGCAACTCTAAGCCCTAAGCCACAAACCCTTGAGCACTAAGGTTTTTGGGCTTGGGATTGATTTAGGCCGGTAGTTTGTTGTGGCGCTGAAAACTTTGAAAAACCTGAGTCGCTGGTTTAGGGTCCGGGGCCTGAGCTTGGAGAGTTGAAGGCTTTGAGACTTTATTTTGGGTGGGTTTGGGGTTTAGGGTTCAGGTTTTAGGAGGACAACCTTCGCATCACGACAAGGAGACGGGGAAGGAAAGACCAAAGACCCTAACCCTAATCTCTGAACCTTAAATCCCCTCAGCCCTAAAACTTAGACCCAAACTACCCCAAAGCCCCAAAATCCGCAAAACCAACCGTGAAAACGCCAGACACCCTACTCTCTAAACGCCAAACCCCACGCCGCAGGCAACAGCAGTAGCAGTGGGGGCACGGATGAGTGCGGCAATCGCCACGGGGCTGCCTCCAGTCCTGCCTGTGCCGAGGTGTTTGGTTTGTGTGCTTTAAGGGTTTGGATTCAGGGGTCAGGTGGTTTTAAATCAAGTTGTTTTAAAACAACCCGTGCTTTAAGGGTTTGGATTCAGGGGTCAGGGTTTAGGGCTGTTTGGGATGTAGCATTGGGCGATTTGAGGTTTCAGGCTGTGGGTGCTCATCCCGGTTTTAGGCTTCAGGCCCAAACCACCCTCGCTTGAGGGCTGTTTGATGGTAGGGGTAGCCAGGCAGGGGGTAAAGATCTCAAACCCTAAAACCCTAAACCCTAAACCCTAAACCCTAAACCCTAAACCCTAAAACCCAAAAACCCTAAACCCTAAACCAAACCATCTGTGTTTTGGGCAGTACTTGAGGCCGGCCACCTTCGACTGAAAGCAACCTCAAGGCCCTCGAGGCCCAAAACCCTGAACCCTCAACCCTAAACCCTAAACCCTAAACCCTAAACCCTAAACCCTAAACCCTAAGCACGACTGAGGCGAAAATCCGCGCCTGGTGCAGCTCCAGGGTCTGCTGGCAGCCAGCCACAAGTACCAGGCGAGGGTGGTGGGGGGGGTGTGGGGGTGGAAGACCTATAGGAGTTATATATAGTATAGGAGTTATATATAGGAGTTATATATAGGAGTTATATATAGGAGTTATAGTATAGGGCTTTTTGGGATTCTAGAACCCCTTAGGGCTTTGGGGTTTCAGGGCAAAAGCAAATACTCAAAGCCTGCTAGGAGACAGAAGGGGTTTAAGGCAGTTTCGGCCCGACGGTTTCGGAACTTCATGGCTTTGAGGGCTTCTTGGCTCTGCTCGGGGCTTTAGGGCTAACATCTCAAAGCCCGAGACCCCTACCATCCACCAATACAACTCCCAAAACCCAAAATCCGAGGACCCTTAAACTAGTGCCTCCCGGGGGGGGGGGGGGGGCGCCTCACACGTGAGCGCGGGCAAACCCTACGCCCTAAACCCACGGAAACCCTTCCACCCGAAATCCAAACCCTAAACCCTAAACCCTAAACCCTAAACCCTAAACTCTAAACCCTATAGACCCTAAACCCTAAACCCTAAATCAGGTCAAGCGACTCCAGCTCTGGTGCGAGCAGCACCTCTGTGAGACTTGGATTACAATTCTGGGTTATAGGGTTTGGCTAGAAGGGTTTAGGGTTTAGGGTTTAGGGTTTAGGGAGACTTGGAGTGCATTGCTTGGCCCCTGCGATGGATTTGGGATACTGGATGACAATTCTGGGTTATAGGGTTTAGGGTTTAGGGTTTAGGGTTTAGGGTTTAGGGTTAGGGTCTTAATGTAGGGTTTGGGCTTGAATTGGTGACCTTATAAGTTTTTCTCTAAGCGGGGGGAGTGTCAGCCGAGACCCTTCGCTGGACCGCAGCAGAGAAGCCTTAAGCCCTTAATGTAGGGGTCGGATTATTTAGGAATAGTATTCCCTTGTGGATAAAATGATACTATTATAACCCCCAAACCCCTGTTCTAATTGTAAACGCTTGCGCGCGCCGCCTCGGCAGCCGGGCCGGCCCCAGGAAGGGCAGAGAGGTTACGGGGGGGCGGGGGGGGGGGGGGGGTGGGGGGGGGGGGGGTGGGGGGGGGGGGGTGTGGGGGGGGGGGGGGTGGGGGGGGGGGGGGGGGGGGGGGGGTTTTTTGAGCACTCCCTGTGTAAGGCCACCGACAGGCGGATCCCTCACGCATCGGTTTGCAGCTCCTCCAAGCGATTGGGGGGTCCGGGGGGGGGGGGGTGGCGTCAGAAAATTTGGCATGGGGAAGGGTTGGGTTAGGGGGAAGGAGGCCCGATCCGGGTCTGCTTGTTCCAGACGCTTCTCGGCAGGAAGCCGAGGCGAATTATTATGGCCCCTGTATAAGGTCTTTGCAGTTCGCACTCCTTTTGGATCTGCTCACTCTGGTGGGTAGGTAGCCTTGAACCTCATTTGGGTTTTGTCAGGCCCCTGACAGCCCCAAAGAATTGTTTAAACCCGAAACCCTAAACCCTGCACCCTGACGGCACAAAATAAGTTGAGGGCCATGCTTTGGTGGGTTCCTTCTGCTTAGGTTTGGAGTTGTGCTAGGGCGTTCAAGGCTCTACGGACATAGATCGTGTCGGGTTCAGCGCTTCTTGTGGATTCTTGGGCTCATGGGGTTTAGGGTTTTTTCATCAGGGAGTTTGGGTTCTTGCATGGGCGTTTTGGTTCACAGGTTTTAGGGTTCAGGTCATTAGCTTTTGGTGTATGCTTTCTGTTGGGGTCTAGGGCTCCGTGTCCCAACATCCCTTCGGGGCTCGGGCACGGGGGTTCAGGACACTCCCTGCACCTTACAACGAAATCCCTAGCAAGCTTCAAAACCGTGCATTCCTGGTCCTGGTCCTCAGCCTTAGAATTCCTAAGCCTGCACCCAATGGGAGGAGGGGGGGGGGTTACGGTTCAGGGTACTGTATTGTTTTTTGTGGCTTGGGTTGTTCCAAGCACCGGAAAGGTTCTGGATGATTCCGTGGAATACCATCAACCCCCCCTTCACCCCCTCCATAGAATGTCAGTAGCCTGCTCAGGAGCAGATCTCGGTGGGGGAAGTCTGCCAAGTGCTGTGCCAGGCACACCTCTACGAGGTCGGGGGCGGGGTGAGATGGGGTGAGGGTCAAAGGCAGACTTGCAAAGCCTCGCACCCTAAGGCCCTGAGGCTCTGCGGCTCTAGGGGCTTGCTGTTAAGGGGGGGGCCACGGCTTCCAGGTTAAAGTTGAACTGTTGGGACTTCGGGGCTTGAGATCTCAGATCGGAATCTTAACCCTCAACCTCCGTCTCCCTCAAGCCTCTACCACCCTAAACCTCCCAAACGCAGACAGTTTGGGGGTTTACATAGGATGAACCGTTTAGTGTTCTTTTTTGGTTTTGCGGTTCAGGTGTAACCGTGTGGCTGGGGGGGGGGGGGGGGGGGGGTTGTTAGCGTTCCTGTGCTAAGGGCGAAGAGTTTGGGTCTTTATAGGGCTTGGGCCATGGTCTTGCCATGCGAACCCTGAGCCACTTCATGAGCCCAGCTTAAGGATTCGGATTCCAATCCGTCTGCCAGTTGATGGTGTGCTCCAGGCTTCGACGGGAATACTGCAGTCGGACATCGATTTTCACTTCAGGTAGGTTCCCAAAGAGCCGTGGATTTAAGGGACCTCTATGCCACCGGATTGGGAGCCGATGGCTAGAGAACAAGACCTGCACAAGGGCTTCACAACATGAAATTCTTAGGGGCGCCGGTTGTCTTCCTCGGTGAGGTTCTTGGAGTCGCTTAGTGGTTAGGGTTTAGGGTGGGTTCTATTCTTGACATCACCCCAGCAACGCCCTGCACTTGCAGGCAAAGCAGCTGGAGAAGGCGTGCCTCTGCTACATCAAGAACCACATGGAGGCGTGGCCTTGAGCCTTCAGCGACTTCAGTGGTCGCAGCCCCCTGCAGCTTTAACTTTGATGGGGCCAACCCTAAACCCTAAACCCTCAAACCTAAACCCTAAACCCTAAACGCTAAACGCTAAACCCGAAACCCTCAACTCCTAAGCTTCTTCTCACCTGCAAGGCTGTAGCTGGGCTGTGCAGATGCCAGCATGTTTGATTTAACTTTGACGGCAGGCTCTAAATGGAGTGCAAGCACTAGAAGATGACGGTCCGCAGACTAGAAACTAAACTCAAATCGCTATGCCACCTGTTGGCCCCTGTGACAGTGCCTGTATTCACTTTCCGATTCCCCCTTCAACCCCTAAACCCTAATCCCCAAACCCCTAAACCCCCCTAAACCCTAATCCCCATTCGTTGATGAAGCATCAGCAAGTCTGGGTTTGTGCGGACCAGGACGTGGTCGTTCTTCCTGCCTTCGGAAACCTCAGTCGAGACTGGCCCGAGGCGGTTTAGGGTTTAAGGTCGACTGTGCTAGTAGACTCCCTGAGTCCTGGCCCTGATAAAAGCTCTAAACTGACCCCGTGTCGATTCGTAGGCCCTCAGACCTAAAACCCCGCAGTTCCTTGTACCAAAGTTCGACAATCCCACGTCTTGGTTGTTGGCAACAGCAGGCTTGTCGGCTTCTTGTCATATCCGGGCCCCGCTGGCGGGCAGGGTGGGGGTAGGGGGTGTTTCAGGTGATGGAATCTGAACTAAGCCTCAGCCCCACCCGCCTGCCCTTTTGGGGAGTTCGGGGTTTAGGGTTTAGGGTTTGCGCGCAACGTCTTGTCTCCTTGACTAGGGTTTTAGGGCTCCTTTTGCCGAGTAAATGCAACACCTCAGGGATCGTAAACGCAAAAACCCTCAGTAACCTCTCTAAGTAAACCTATGTCAGCTAAGTACCCTAAACCCGAACCACCCTCCTGGACCTGCAAGCCCTAAACCCTGCAGGTCATGCTGAAGATCAGCATTTTCACTGCAGGCTCGAGCCTTTTCTTTGGTGTAGGGCTTAGAGGTTTAGGGTTTAAGTCTTCTCCTCTGTTGTTTCTTGATGGTTTTGGGGTAGGGCTCATGGTTCGAGGGGCTTTAGGTTCAAGGGTTCGGGAAGTGCTGTTAAGGGCTGAAGCGCCAACTCCGGCCCTCGAAGGAAGGCCCTGCGCCACCAGGATATACCCCAACACCCCTGAACCTCAATCATCTGCCCTTGTTCGCCACGCTGCTTGCTGTCTGAGTGCACTCGCCCTCTGCACCCTAACCCTCTCAGTGTGCCCCCCCCTCCCCCCCCCCCACTGCCCTGCGGGCCCGCTTGTGCGCAGGCGTGTCAGAAACCAGGGCCACTGCTGCCCTGGACGTGGTGTCCTGGAGGCCAAATCCATCTCAGGCTGTTGCGTGGTGGCAGATTTAGGGGAGTTCAACGGGTTTAGGAGGCTGGTTAACAGGGTTGGGGCTTAGGTTTAACGTCTAATTATAGCGCTTAGCCGACTTGGGGCGTTAGGCTGTCAAGCAACTGTCGTATTCCACGGCACCAGCCCTCTACCCTGAGCCCCCAAACCCTAATCTTCCCAAAGTCTAAACCCTAAAACTTGACAATCTAGGGGCCCCACAAGGAACCAGAAGAGAGAGCGATAGAGACAGAGAGAGAGAGAGAGATAGATAGATAGATAGATAGAGAACGAGGGAGGGAGAGAGGGAGAGGGAGGGAGACGCCATCCGCGTACACCCTCGCCCCAGCCGAGGGAAAGAGGAAGCGCAGCGAAGGTGATGGGCCTGGTAGCGAGTAGTGTCGGTGCCAGGGTAGGAAGTATATGGTTTGCGTTCGAGGATGTTAGTGTTGGCCTTGCGGATAGACGGTAGGAGCTCTTCTTATGGGGTTTATGGGTCTATGCAAATCAGGGTTTCCGAAAGGTTTAGGTGTAGGGTTCTTTTCCAGCTCCCCCTGGGTCGGATTCACATTTCCCCGCCTCCCCCCCCTCAACATGGGGTACCCAGACATAGTCGCAAGGTTCAGCTCGCGTCGTGTCGGTTGAGGGTAACCAGATAAAACCCTAAACCCTAAACCCCAACCCCCAAACCCCTAAACCTCTAAACCCAAAACCTGCAAGAGACTTGGCACGGACACGCTTGCCGAAAGCGCCGGGTAGTGGGTTACAAGAGCTCAACTGGTGCTTGCTGCCGAATCTAGGGGTCGGAAGAAGTACTAGTAATAGTATTCCCTTGCGTCCCCTATATGCAAATACTAACATAACCCCCCAAAGCCGGATTCTAATTATGATTGAGGCCCCTAGAGTAGATGGTGGCAGCCTGTAGTTGGCAAAGAGTAGTGGCAGGCAACAATTGAGGGAAGGCTCAGGCTGGCAACAGAGCAGGGCGCGACTCAAATGCTGCGAGCAACCGGAAACGCTAAACCTATAAGTCCTACGTCCTATAAGCCCTAAACCCTATGAGTCCTACGTCCTATATGCCCTATTTAAACTCTAGAAAGCATTAAGACCCCTCATCCCCCCCCCCCCCCCCCCCCCCCCCCCCCCCCCCCCCCCCCCCTCCCCCCCTCCCCCTAAGTAGCCTGCAGTCTCGCGTTCTAAGCCGTAAACCTCAGAAGCGCCAGAAACCCAAACCCCAAGCCCTGTAAACCTCGGAAACCCCAGAGACCCGAAATGCCCGGCAGGCTTGCTGAGCCCTAAACCCCAAACCTTAAACCCTGCACCCTTAAGCCTTAACCCTTAACCCTTAACCCTAAACCCTAAACCCTAAACCCTAAAAACTTCGGACGCTCGGCAGAGGGAGAGCCCGCGCCGGCAACACGAAGCTTCCTGCACCAAAGCGACAGGGAGGGGGTCTAGCGCCTCCGAAACCCCGAAACCTTAGGGCTTAGGGCTTTTAGGGTTTAGGGTTTAGGGTTTAGGGTTTAGGGTTTAGGGTTTAGGGTTTAGGGTTTAGGGTTTAGGGTTTAGGGTTTAAGGACCCTGAAAGAACTCTCTAAACCCTTTCCTTAAAACTTAAGACCTGGCTGCTCTCAGCTTGAGACGGCAGCGATGTACGAGATTTGCCTTCGGGGCTTCTCGCGTTCCGGTGACTTGAAGCTCCGACCCCTAAACGCTCCTTATATGCCCTACGATCTTAACCCTGCAAATCGACCCCCGTCAGGCTTTCAGGGCCAGCAATCCTGAATTCCCAAACTGTAGATGACAATTTCTTTTCGGGTGTGCCTGACTTGGGCGTGCGAGCCCCCGACTAGGTCCCAGAGCGCTGGAAATCAGCTGCTCATGCCATTGTCGCGTGCAGGATACTGGGCAGCTCGTGTCATGCTGCCCGCACCAAGGCTAGGTAGGACGACGCTCAATGATATTTGGATCCTTTGTTATGTGCATGTTGCTCACATGATGTGCGTGCTGCGCGTCGCTCCTACCTAGCATCAGGGATCTCCGCCATCAAAATTCGGATGCGAAAGGTCGTTTTTTTGTTGTTATTATTTCTATTATTAGTATTAGTATTTGTTATTATTATTATTATTTGTTTTCTTTTTTGTTTGGGGGGGGGGCAGGTACTTCGTCTTGGCATCCCTTGGCTTTCGGTCTTGGCTGCAACAGTAAACCCTGAAGCCCAGAACCCCAATCTCCATGCCGAAGAGCTGGTGAAGCCCCAGGAGGTTCAGGGTTTAGGTTTTAGGGTTTAGGGTTTAGGGTTTAAGTAGGGTTTAGGGTTTGGAGTTTAGGGCTCAGGGTTTAGGGGTATGCAGTGTGCAGCTAGCGCTGGAACTTATAGCTCCCGAATGCTCCAGACAGCTCCCAAGACACGCGCTTGCTCCTTCAAGCCCTGGCCGCTGACACCCTCATGCAAGCATCCAACTTCCCGCAACCCTCAAACCCTTCAACCCCAAATAGCCATCATCCCCAACAGGCAAGCTCCTCAACCCCGAAACCCTAAACCCCTAACCCCAAAGCCATGGAGACCATCACACTGCCCAGGCCACGTGTCCCTGACAGACCTGGATCCCCAAGCCGTGCAGGCAACGGATGGTTTAGGGTTTAGGCTTTGGGGTTTAGGGTTTAAGTATTAGAGTTTAGGATTTAGGGATATACTAGTCAGCAACTTAGCTCCAAAACCTCAGCAGCTCTGGGCCTTTTCCCGACGCCCTTTGCCTCGCGAACCCTCAGCCCCCCCCAAAGCCTTGAGGCCGATGAAGCCAGGAACTGCTGCGGGCGAAACCCGCATCCTCAAAGCCCTCAACCCGGCACCCTAAGTCGACCCTTATAACCCTTAAACCATTCAACCCCTGTAATCCCTAAACCCTAAACCCTATCCCTAAACCCTAAACTTTAAACCCTAAACCCTAAACCCAACCCAGAGTGGCAGGCTTTGTGGGACTTCCGCGCTTTGCTGCTTGTGCTCTGGCAGCAAGTGCTTGGCGAGGTGATTAGGGGTTAGAGATGTGGTTTTCGATAGCAGTTTTAGGGTTTTGGGCCACGATTGTTTTAAGCGTTAGGGTTGAAGGGTTTTAGGGGCAGTATGGACCTTCCGCGTGTAGACCCCGCACAAGTAGCTCCCTCATGAAGCTTAGACCCATGTACTGGCCTACGCCCGAAACCTTTGCAATAGAAATTCCTGTGCTGCAATGGACCCTCGCAGCTGAACCCGAGTAGACCCTACATCCCAACACCCGAAACCCTCTCGTTGTCAATCCTGCACCACCATACTAAACCCTAAACCCTAAACCCTAAACCCTAAACCCTAAACCCATTAAGGACCATTAACCATAGACTGAGAAGAACTGCGGCGACTCAGCTCTTAAGACCCTAAACCCTAAGCCTGAAACCGCCCTAGAAGGGACCTAAAGTCTCGAACTGAGGAGAACTTCGGCGACATCATGACCGCCTGGAACCACGGGTTGGACCCAAAGAAGCGCGGGAAGCTAGAGGCGAACGTTTGGGGCTCGGTTTAGGATTTGGGGTTTTTGGGGGTTTAGGGTTTAGGGCTAGGTGGGGAAGCTAGGTAGCTATTAGGAGTCAGGGTTTAAGGGCTTGGGGTTTCAAGGGTTCAGGGGTTGAAGGTTTACATTTCTGGGCTTAGGGGCTTTAAAGGCGGGCTTAGGCTTTTCCAGGGTACTCTGAGGTTGTGCCCCTGCAGAGTTCCCTTCAACTCTCCCCAAAGCCTAAACCCCTAACCCCTAACCCCCAACCCCCAACCCCCTAGGGTTCAGGATCGCCTGCAGCCTGCCAGGAGGAAGACTTCTGCCAGCGGGTGGCGGAGATGGGCTACGCGGTAAGTTCCTCATGATGGTCGCTTCTTTGCGGGGTTTTGGGGTTTAGGGTTTAGGGCTGGGTTTGTTGAGGGCTTGGGCTCTAGCACTTATTAGTGCTGTTTCTTGTTGGAGAAGGTGTGTTGCAGACAGTGAAAGCCCATGTCTCTCCGAAATCCCTAAACTCTAGAAATCACAGGGTTCTTGTCGCAACCCCCACATTCATACTCAAGAAGCGTACAGCTGCATGCTTCAGAGCCCCCTTAGGTTACTATTGTGGGAACTATAGACCGGACTCCCTTGCCAGGTTAGGTTCTGCTGAAAAAAGGGACAAACAGCCTTACAACCTAAACCTTTGCTTCTTGGCCACTTGCAGGCCCAGGAGAATCTTCCCGAGATCGCCCCTCCCTGTTTCGGGTTCAGATGCTTTGAGGTTCAGGGTTTGGAGTCAGCTTTGTTCTCATGGCAGCAGTCGTTTTTTAGAGGGAGACCACCGTTCCCTTTTTTTGTTTTTCTTGGGAAGGGTTGCGTGGTTTGTGTTTATCAATCATTACTTTTTGGCCTCTAGGTTGTAGTTCAGGGTTTTGGCCAGTGGTGCACAAGACAGCCCTGTGAGGGCGACGTGAAGAAGCTCTGGCAGCTTCTCTTGGCGGAGCCGCCACGAGCTCAGGATCTGCTCAACCTTTACCAGGCACCCGTCTTCTGAAATATTGGCTAAATCTGAAGACTGAACCGGAACACATGCACACCGAAATACGTGCGTCTGGTACCCATACGGCGGCGTTAGGAATTTAGGGCTTCGATTGCTCGAATCCACACCCAACCCGAATCCCCATCCATCTTACAAGGCACCGCAAGTACATCGTCCTCCGTGACATAGATCCTGCAGCTGCAGCGGCCTGTGCCCCAGAGGGCTTGAGCGGTTTAGAGGTTTTGAGGTTAGGGGTTTTTGTGGGTTTCGGGGGCTTTGGGGTCTGGGGTTTAGGGAGGGCTTGTGGCTTCAGGTATGGAGCGAATATAACGAAGCCCAGCTTCTACAGTAGGGTGTCCTGGGAACGATGGCCCCTAACTCAGCTAAACCCCAAACCCTAAGCCCTAAATTGCTCAGGCTTAAAGGCTCCTGCTGTTTAGGAGCCTTTCCCCAAACCTGGTTTGCCAGAGGCCCTTATTCTGGGAACGTGAGGAAACGCCATGCGCCAGGAAAGCTACCAATCAAATCGTTGATGGCATTCGCAAGCTCGCTGCCTTTCTTTTTACTATTCGAGGGAGAAGTTCCATAGGCTAGGAGGTGAGACGCCCTGTTGGTTCTGGGAAATGGTTTGTTTCACGCCCTTTTATTTAGGATAGTTTTCAGGGGCCATTTCACGCCCGCATTAAATATAATTGCTACAAAATTGTTACGCGCAAAAGCCCATTAATTTGTGCTATCTTGTAGGTTTTGGGTCACAGATTACGAGGTTCGATTTGGGGTTGAATGTTGTGCTCGTTTTTGTGTGGCCCCTCCCCCCCCCCCCCCCCCCCCCCCCCCCCCCCACCCCCAAAAAG